GATATCTTTGAGGAACTACAGCCAGAATGCTTCTTAGAAGCAAGGATAATGAGACATTGTCTAGGTGATTTTGGACACAATAAGGAAGAAATCGTGCTTGGTAACAGTTAATGGAAAAGAAGGGTGACCCTAAACGAGATGGATCGCAACAATGGACTCAAACATAGCAATAATTGTGGGAATGGTACAGGACTGGAAATGCCTCATTCTCCTAAAGATGACATCACTGTGAGTTGGAGCCAATTTGAGGGCATCTGACAACAGCAGCCATCTGGGGTAGAGGTTCAGATAGTCTGAAGGTCGCTGCAGGGCAGTGCAATGGAATGAGTAATATTGGAGTTAGGCAAACCTTGATTCAAAGGTCCATCATTAACAGCTGTGAATGAAACACATTCCTTAAATTCTTGGGCTTTAGCTTTCTTACTATAAGTGAGGACAAGCACCCCAAATGTGTAGGGTCTTTATTAGGATCCAATGAAATGATATGTGCAGAGTTCAGTACAAAGAAAACATTCATTAACTTCTTGTTCCTTCTGAAAGCAAGAATTCTAAAATTCTCTCCAGATCAGTTCAGCCATGGGGATGGACGCTAACAGCTGTGCCATTTAAAAGTGTTAATAGATAACTTAGCAGCTCTTGGCTAAATGGAAAGATGAGGTCCATCAGCTTCCGGTTATTTTATGATATGCTTGTAGAGCTGAAATAAAATACTCTCTATGCTCTGTGATAGTTTCTATGATGATGCTACTTTGGGCTCCCTCACTGGACAGGAGTAGTCCAATGATTGCATAATGGCTCACAGCGGTGGCTTATCTTTCAAAGTGAGTAGAACACTGGTATCTTGAGGGGTCCTGTAGACTGGCATCAGAGGTGGGGAGAGCCCTCTGTGGGTACGAGTGTGGCATAAGAGCCTGCACTGCCTGCCAGTGCTCTTGCTGATTTCCAGGAGGGGGAGCGCTTCAACTCCCTGAGGGTGTTCCTTTTTATTCCTTTGTACTTGTCTGAAACGTTTTCCTGGCCCTTCTTCCACATATCATACAATTCAATAGTTCAGTCATATAACGAAGAGTTGTACAATCACCACAATAAATTTCAGGATGTTTTCTTCTTCCTTGTACTCATTGTTATTGGTGTAATTATTATTATTTATTTATCGTGGCAAGAATATCTACAACAAAAAATTCTCCAATGCAACAACTTCTACCGGTCTATAGTTCAGTGCCGTGGATTATACTCTCATGTTGTGCAACCAGTACTGAGATCCGCTTCTAGGTCATTCCCCCACCATTAACATAAACTCAATGTCTCCTAAGCCAAAACTCTTCCTCCTCCACCCAGGATAACCTCTGGTCAACTTTGGTTTCTTTTTTTTTTTTTCTTGTAGTAGATTTCTTGACCTTTGTACACGTTTTGTTGGGAGGGAGGATTTGGTATGCCACAGGAAATGTTATTAACTAGCACATACCAAGACCATTACAAAGTGTCTATATTCAGTGTGTTCCTTTCTGGAATAGTGTAGAAGAGAATCATGACCACAGAGTTTCCCGCTTCAGTGTTGTGTGTAACAGCAAAAGGTAGGGCACCTCTTGATGACCATCCATAGAAGGGGAGGTGGGGGAGAGGGAGGCACAGGTATACACGTGATGGACATTTGTGTGAGAGACTATCATGTAGTCTAACACCTGGTAGTAAAAAAATGGACTTAAAAACTGCTTATCACATAATGTTGGAGATTGTGGTAGTTACATAATTTCGTGTCAATTTGAAGATATAAAAGTGAAGGGGTGGGCTGTGATAGTTGGGGGGGGGGGCGTTGTGCCAACATGGTACCCTGTAGGAACATGTGGGAGGAGGTTAGCCTATCAAGTCACAGCTTGATGACATCTTTTTAGAGGCATGACTGACATAAATGGTTCTCTGAGGCTGGCCCCTTCCTCGTTCTTCCTGGGGGTGGGCCACACACTCTCTCTCTCTGCCTTCACCTTCCTGTGATGGGCCATGCAGAGACCTGTGCCAACCCTGGAGATGCTTCCATCGCAGTTGGATCCACACCACTCTGCACCCAGCAGCCTGTGATTTTCCTGCACTCTGAATCATTGCTTGTGGCTGTGTGAGTCTGAAGAGGGATTTATGGACCAGTACCAGACTTACAGACTAGTATCAGACTTATGGACCTGATCTGGACTGGGCCAGAATGTTTTCCTGATATATAACTATTTCTTTTTTTAAATCATTTTATTAGGGGCTCATACAACTCTTATCACAATCCATACATACATCAATTGTGTAAAGCGCATTTGTACATTCATTGCCCTCATCATTCTCAAAACCTTTGCTCTCCACTTAAGCCCCTGGCATCAGCTCCTCATATTTTCCCCTCCCTCTCTGTTCCCCCCTCCCTCATGAACCCTTGATAATTTATAAATTATTATGTTGTCATATCTTGCACTGTCTGACGTCTCCCTTCACCCACTTTCCTGTTGTCTGTCCCCCAGGGAGAAGGTTATATGTAAATCCTTGTAATCGGTTCCCCCTTTCTACCTCACCCTCCCTCCACCCTCCTGGTATCGCCACTCTCAGCACTGGTCCTGAAGGGATCATCTGCCCTGGATTCCCTGTGTTTCCAGTTCCTATCTGTACCAGTGTACATGCTCTGGTTTAGCCAGATTTGTAAGGTAGAATTTTGGATCATGATTGTGGTGGTGGTGAGGCTGGGAGGAAGCATTTAGGAACTAGAGGAAAGTTGTATGTTTCATCATTACTACACTGCACCCTGACTGGCTCGTCTCCTCCCTGCGACCCTTCCGTAATGGGATGTCCAATTGCCTACATATGGGCTTTGGATCTCCACTCCGCACTTCTCCTCATTCACAATGATATGATTTTTTGTTCTGATGATGCCACATACCTCATCCCTTTGACACCTTGTGATCACACAGGCTGGTGTGCTTCTTCCATGTGGGCTTTGTTGCTTCTGAGCTAGATGGCCGCTTGTTTACCTTCAAGCCTTTAAGCTCCCAGACACTATATCTTTTGATAGCCAGGCACCATCAGCTTTCTTCACCACATTTACTTATACACCGGCTTTGTCTTCAGTGATTGTGTTGGGAAGGTGAGGATCATGGAATGCCAGTTTAATAGAATAAAGTATTCTTGCATTGAGGGAATACTTGAGTGGAGGTCCAATGTCCATCTGCTACCTTAATACTAAATCTATACATATATGCACCTAGATCTATTTCCACATCCTCATATATAAATATATTTACATATGTGCATGCCTGTATTTAGACCCCTATAAAAGGCCCTTACCTCCTAGCTCTTTACTCTATATCTGTTTACTTTCCTCCAGTCCCACTATTATGTTCAGTCTTCATTAGAGTTTCAGTAATTCCTCTCGGTTACATTACCCTTGATCACACCCTACTAGGCCTCCTACACTCTCTTCACCACTGATTTGGATCACTTGTTGTTCCCTTGTCCCTCGGTTTGATATATAACTATTTCTTGATATAAAGCTCTCTTAGACACATATGAGTGTCACTGGATTTGTCTCTCTAGTCAAACTGGCCTAACATAGATATTAAAAAAATAAAAACAGCAGGAAGAAGTTTTTAGATGTTGAAAATGGATTTTAATCACATGATGTTTAATAGTGACTCCGGATAAGGACCACCTTTACCTTGTCCTGGTGTACACATATATTCTATCTGGCTGTTTTCTTGTATGCAGGGAGTATAGAGGTGGTGATGGAAGAGGGCCCTGGAAGCCTCCTCTGGTGCCGGATGGAGTTCTACGGTAAGGGGCTTTCATTTCTAGCAACCGCTGCTGTTTCTTAACTAGAGGTGCCAAATGTAGCGTGAAGGCCAAAAGGCCAGTGTTGGCCTCGAAACTGGGTGATATTTTCAGGAACGGAGACCGGTAAGAGCAGGGGGAGAACTGGGAACATTGGGTTTAAGGGAGCAAAGGGTGAAGGGGTGAAAGCCAGGAGTGAAAGCGCCAAGGCCACAGCTTCCTCAAAATGATCCTTCATTAAGTCAGCTTCCAACTCACTTCCCTATATATTTAGCGTAAGAAACCTGGCAACTCCATTAAGTTTAACCACTGGAAATACAGGACACTTCTATGTGAGGCCCCACGGGCTCACCTGTTCTTCTTTCTCCTACCAGTGCTTGGTTCCTGCACCCCACAGCATACCCGTGGACAGGAGACCGGTAAGAGCAGGGGGAGAACTGGGAACATTGGGTTTAAGTCAGCTTCCAACTCACGTCCCTATTCTCACTATGGGCTGTTTGGTCGTGAGAAACCAGCCCCACTCCAAGCCCTGCAGAAGGCTATGTGTATCTCGCGATTAAAATCCTTCCTCTAGTCATGTGTCGAGGAACCCTGCGGATGCTGTGGTTTAGGCCTTGGGCTGCTAATCACCAGGTCTGCAGTTCAAATCTCTCCACAGGAGAGAGAGAAGACAATCTGCTCCCACAAAGACTCCCAACCTCAGAAGTGCTATAAAGGTTTACTTTGAACTAGAATCAATCAATAGCAGTGGGTTTTGGGGGTATTATACAAGTCCCAGCCTTAGGCCCCCTCACAATCTCTCTCAGGAGCACCCCCAGGAATGCCCTGTTGCTCTCTGTTGTACCATCTCCTGAATTGCTCTATGTATCTCCTGTGTTTATAGCCCCAATTAGAGTGTGGGGTGCTCAGTGGGAAAACCCCTTGGCTACCTCAGATGATACTGATCTCTTTGAGAGATCAGCTCATTGCCAGCCCAAGATCTGGCAAGTGTGGACTTTATGGCCCCCAGGAAAAGCGCATCTATTTCCTGCTGAAAAGGCCAGGGTTAAAGCTCAGACCACAGTGGCACTTTGCATTGAGCCTTCAGAAGCAGGTGGGAGGGATACACAGCCAGCCTGAGGACAAAGTCCTGCAATAAATTACGTGGGCAAAGCACTTGGCCATTTCCTCTTGAGGCCCTTCTCTTCCCTTGTTCCCAGCAGCCATTGCACCACCTGCTTCCCCAGCTCTTTCAAGTGCCTGGGAATCAGCAAGGCCTCGCTTCTGACAAGGTAAGGAAGCCCACCACGGCCTGTCTGAGCAGATGGCCATGTCCAGGACTGGACAGGGACCGGGTAGGAAGCTGTAGATCTGGGAAGGTTTGCAGAAGTTTACATGGAAATGAACAGGAATGTTGGGGTATAAATAGCTTGAGATTTCCTTCAAGAATCTGAAAACCAGGAGCCCCAGGACTGGGCCATCTGGCTTGCAAGGCCCAATCCTAGGAATGAAGGAGGAAGGCAGAGAAAGAGGAGCTGTCTTTAATAGGTTGTAGGAGGACAGACTCAGCATCCCTTGTCAAAGGGCAGGTACCTAGGCCGGCGCTCTTTCCCACAGCTAGAGGAGCTGTCTGGGGGCCAGGGGCACTCAGGAGGGTACCTAGCTCCTAGAGGCAGGGCACCTATCAGAGGCTAGTCATGTACAGCAGCTGTGGCACGGACTGCCTTCTCTGTGCTGTTATTGGACGAGGAAACGAAGGGCTGTGGAAGGTTTTGTGGCCACAGGAGCAAAGACGGCCACGGCTGCCTCCAAAACTCATACGACTTGATTTGTGCCCATGTTCTCTCTTGGACGATTGCCTGTGGCCAACTTTGAAAGTGGGACAAGGGTGAAGGCAGTGGACTGCCTGGCTTGGTCTCACAGGCTCCCCGGGGCTGGTGCTTGGTTGTTGAGGGGACGTGATGACTGAGGAGGGATAAACCACTCAGCGAGGCACTCCAGGATTGACAGGAAGGATTATCTGAGGCTGTACAACCTTGGACCGGTGCTAATTGACAGGAAGGATTATCTGAGGCTGTACAACCTTGGACCGGTGCTAAATCAGGCCAGGTCGTTCCCCTGACCTAGCCTAACCTCAGGCATCTCTTTGGATCTTTGGTCCTGAATTGTTTCTAATTCATAAACCTCTGAAGTCGGTTCAGGATTTTCCCTCTAAGAAAACAAAAGCTCTTTTCCTCCAGGCTCTTTCCTCCGTCTGGGAGCACCTTCCCTACGATGCGATGCGCCTCCACCTAGTGAATGTTTGTTTAGTGCCGTTCAGTTCAACAGCACTTCCTCTGGATGCCCCTCAGGCCTTCAGGTGCGCCCCTTCAAGGTGGTCCTCCACCCTCTAAGCACGTCTCAGAGGTCTGGCTGTGCGCGTGTGTGCGTACGTGTGTTATACCCTGATCTCCTTAGTTCTCGCACAGGTCTGGTTACTTAAAGCTTTCCAACTGCATGTGTGCTTCATCCAACGTCTTGTTTTACCTGCTTCCCAACAGCTCTTGCTTCCACATTCTCAGTCCAGGCAACGAGCTCCTCAGGAAGGAAGAACGGGAAGTGCAGCGCCTTAAACAAAAGACGGCATTGAGCTTAAGGAGCGTAAGATGACTGGCCCACAGTCACAGTCAGCCACGATTCTGAGTCTCTTCAGAGTATGAGCTGGGACTCCTCAGTCTAAGACTGTCCTCTGAACTCACGCAGGGCATGCAGAGCACAGGCACCCAGCAAATACAGAGGGGTCTCGGGGAGGAGATGAGCCAGTCAGGGTGCGATGTAACAATGATGAGAAATACAACTTTCCTCTAGTTCCTAAATGTTTCCTCCCCGCTCCCACTACCATGACTCGAATTAGATCTTGCAAGTCTGGCTAGACCAGAGGAGGTACGCTGGTACAGATAGGAACTGAAAATACAGGGAATGCAGGGCAGATGAGCCCTACAGGACCAGTGGTGTGAGTGGCAAAACAGGGAGGGTAAAGGGAGAATGGGTAGGAAAGAGGGAACCGATTACATGGAACTGTGTGTGACCTCCTCCCTGGGGGACAGACAACCGAAAAGTGGGTGAAGGGAGACGTCGGACAGGGCAAGATATGAGAAAATACCCATTTATAAACTATCAAGGGCTCATGAGGCAGGGGGGAGCGGGGAGGGAGGGGAAAAATGAGGACCTAATGTCGGGGGTTTAAATGGAGAGAAAATGTTTTAAGGAACGATGTACAAATTCGCTTTACACAATTGATGTGTGTATGGATTGGGATAACAGTTGTATGAGCCCCTAATAAAATGTTAAAAAAAAAATTCAAAAAAAAATACAGGTTGAGTGGAAAAATGGGTAGTTAGCAGCCGAAGTAAAGTCCGGCTTTCTAATTTAGCAGTCCCTGAGTGGGGGCTGTGATGGTGGAGGAGCTATGTCTGGGTTATGGTAACAAAGGTGCAGAGGAAAGAAAGTACACATTCAGCTTAAGCACTGCTGACATGGAGCAGGGACTGAGGATGGGTGTGGAGGAGCAGGAGACGCTGCAGAACTTTCTGTGATGATTGAAATGTTCTTTTGTGCCATTCAATACACTAGCCCTAGCCTTAAGGGGTTTTTGAGCACTTGAAGTGTAGTCAGTACAACTAAGGAAGTGAATTTTTTGTTTGAATTAAAATAGCCACATGCTTTGGCTAGTGAATTTGTTGCCACTTAATAAGGGTTTGTACCCTGAAGCAGCAGAGCCAATCCATGAACTCCAAGTTAGAGAGGGGAAAAAAGAGAAATTTGGTTTTAGTAGGTTTAACTAGCCAGGAGGCTGACAGCCACACAGGGTTGTCTTGATGATATCCTGTTTGAAATCAGAATACATAGAGAATATGTACTTTTTATTTCACCTTCTGGGGGAGTCATATACAGATGTTTTTACATTAATTCTGGTTTCAGAATAACCCTGGGAAATTATTGTTGACTGAGCAAGCAAACAGAACAATGAAGTTCTCTAAGCCTGAGGCCAGTCTCAGGATGTCTGTTAACCAACCAGATAGCAGGGCCTAGCCTTTTGGACCCTAACAAGCAAATAAGAGAAGATTCTTAAGTTATCTGGTAGGGGAGCTGATATCAAGGTGCTCAAGAAGAAAGAAAATGTTTGAAACTGATTGTGGTAGCAGTTGTACAACAATGCTTGATGTGATTGAATGATGGAATGTTATGATATCTGTAAGAGCGCCCTCAAAAAGTGATTAAATAAATAAATATGAATGTAAAAAAAAAGCTTTATCTAGCCCTTCCATGTGACATCTATATACAACCCAATTGCCTCTGAGCAATGTCGCAAGTTATAAAAATTCCACAGTGACTGCATTAAGTAATTTAGGTTAGTGGAAATAAGTAAGTTTGAAGCTAGAAAATTTAATCAGTTAATTTTCATAACCTTCAAAAATTAAGGGTAATTTGGATGATATAATTCATGAAAAGGCTTTGCCGGTCCTTTGTCTGCAGGCTCGACCGAATTCTTGACTACTAAAACCTGAGAGCCTTAGCTGTGAGACAGACGAAAGTGCTGATTTTTGTGAGGGCCTGGACAGCCAGTTCGGGAATGTTGAACAGAAAGAGAGCAAAGGACACACAATCGATGCTGCTAAGGAGATGTAGGTCTGTATTACAGTCTTCCGTAAAACCTCGGTCTCTGACAAGTCTAGCCAACATCAAAGGGCTTCCGAGTAAAATTTATAATTAATTACTTAATAGAATGAGACACCCCCCCTCCCTTTAGAGTTAACAGGGATATAGGAGTGTGGCACAAAGTAAAAACTGACTCAGGAGAAGCTTAATATGAGTAATGCTATAAGGAACTATCATAAAAACTGAGTGCTTTGGACTCTTTAAAAAAAATCATTTTATTGGGGGCTCGTACAATTCTTATCACACTCCATACATTCATTCATTGTGTCAAACACATTTGTACATTTGTTGCCATCATCATTTTCTAAACATTATCTTTCTACTTGAGCCCTTGGTATCAGCTCCTCATTTTTTCCCTCCCTCCCCACTGGACCGGAGTCTCTCTGGACCTTTGTGAAGACAGCGCCCTCCCTCTGTCTCACCGCTAATTAGCACTGTTCTCCCAATATAACTGGGGAAAGGCTGAATCAGAACTCGAGAGGAAGGATTCACAGGCTTCTGAGCCCTGGGCCCGAGAGGGTCCTTACCTGCCCAGTGCATGCTAGCTGGATAGAGGAGATTTAGGTCAACTGCGGACTGTCTCCCAGCGTCTGGCTGGAACTCTTGGGGAATGGACTGTGGCGGAACTTTCCCAGAGCACTGGGAAGGTTGACTGGCCCTGGACGTGTTCAGAATTGAGCGGGAATATAATAGGGAAGACAATCAACTCAGTAATGATTCAGTGTTTATCTGCAGGCCCAGGATTCAAAGTGCTAACACCTGCCTGCCCACAGGCCCACACCCAGATAGTGATTGGGCACACCGCTAGCAGTCAGGGTCTGCAAGAATAGCTTCAAGGAGTGGTGGTGTAAATAGTTGCTTCTCTCTCCTGTCCTGCTGGTCTGGTTGATTATTTCCTGACACTCCCTGGTGATTTGGGAAGCAGACTCAAACCCAGGATTTTGACAGAGGCAAATATTTAATTGTTTGCTGCCTTTGGCTCTGACCTGGGATAGGCTGGTGCTAAACTGCCTGGCCATCCTTGACTACCCAGGTTCCACAGCAGGTGTGTAGGGACTGTTATGTACTAGTATGAAAAACGAATATGAAAAACAAACAGTAACACAATGTCTCAGAGACAGCAGTGGATCTCTCCACACTTGTGGAAATAAGAGAAAACAACACACGTAGCTACAACACAGACAGACATGGACCCGGAGGAGCTCCCGGAGGTGGGGAAGACCATCAATGAGGGGGATTATAATAGAAACAGAGGGAGAAAGAAAGAAAAAAAACAGATGCAACTATACAGGAACCCAGGAATGCTGATAAAATCCATCCATTTCTGATAAAAAATACTCAATAAAATAGGATCAGAAGGGAAATTCCTCAACATAATAAAGACCATAGATGCAAAACCAACGGGCAACATCTCACTTACTGGACAGAAATGGAAACTATTCCCCCCTTTGAGAATCAGACCGTGCTGCCCTTTATCACCGCTTGTGTTTACTATGTTGTTGTTAAGTGCCATTGAGTCTTTCCAATCCACGGAGGCACTGTATTTAACAAAACAAAACATCGGCCAGTCCTGTGTGGTCCTCACAATTGTTCC